TGTGGCTAGGCTCCCAAAGTCTCACATATGGTATCCTCATGCTTAGTAGAATGTATTTTTGGGTGTAATTCTACATAAACCCATAGCTTGTGTGAGCAGTTTAAGTGACAATTTTGTTAAAAAAAAAAAAAAAGTTTGTCATTTTCCAAAAACTTGTGCAAAAAAAGTAACTCTTCCATGGACTCAATATGCTTCTCAGCAGATAGCTTAGTCTACTTTCCAAAAAGGGGTCATTTGGGGGTGTTTGTACTGTCCTGGTATTTTAGCACCTCAAGAAATGTGATAGGCAGTCAGAAAGTAAAAGCTGTGTAAATTCCATTATATATACTATAGTTTGTAGATGCTATAACTTTCACACAAAACAATCACTGTACACATTTTGGGTTTTTTTTTTTAACCAAAAACATGTAGCAGAATACATTTTGGCCTAAATTTATGATGAAATTTGAGTTTTTTGGATATTTTTTTTATGACAGAAAAGAGAATCTTTTTTTAAAAAATTTTTTCAGTCTTTTATTGTTTGTCGTGAAAAAAAAAAAGTGCACAGGTGATAAAATACCACCAAAAGAAAGTTCTATTTGTGTGAAAAAAAGGACATATATTTCATTTATGTACAGTATTGCATTACTGTGCAATTGTTAGTTAAACTAGTACAGCGCTGTATAGCAAAAAAATTGCGTAAATTGCAGAATCTATACCATAGTTTGTAGACACTATAACTTTCACACAAAGCAACCAGTATACACTTATTGGGATATTTTTTTTACCAAAAACATGTAGCAGAATACATTTTGGCCTAAAGTTATGACTAACTTTGCGTTTACTATATATTTTTTATAGGCAAAATTAAAAAAAATCTTTTTTTTTTTTTTTTATAATTTTTTGTTTATAGCGCAAAAAATAAAAAGTGCACAGGTAATCAAATGCCACCGAAAGAAAGCTCTATTTGTGTGAAAAAAAGGACGCAAATTTTGTTTGGGTACAGCATTGCATGACCGCACAATTACCAGTCTTGGGTGCTGCCATCCTTACCATTACCTATCTAAAACATACAATACTAAACTATACTGATGCCAACTTAAAAAAAATTCTTTAAAGAAAAAAAATTCTGCCCCCAAAAATACTGACTTTGACCTTTACGTGACCCAAACACTAACCCTGGCACTGACCAAGATCAAACCTTGATCTAGCTATTTTTTATTTTATGACTATTATTATTTTTGTATATTTTTTTTGTTTGTTTACACATCTACCTGCAAGGAGAGAGAGATACAATTGTATTTCTCTTTCCATTCAGAGAGAAAGAAAACATAGGGGTGGACTGCACAGTGACTGATCACTGTATAATAGCCAATCAACGGGCCTGTCCCAGGTCCCGATTATTAGTATGGGATGTGGGGCTCCCTGTGGGAGCTCGGAGTCTGTGCTGGGAGCATGCTGTGTGGCACACTCCTGGCACAAAGACAGATGTGCATATATGCAGCCCCATGGAAAAAGGCCAGGCCAGTGAGGCCGCATATATGCATACTGTCAGCAGGAAGGGGTTAATGTGCTTTTTCTAAACATGAATGTTGTACATACAAACTAACAATTGTTGAAAAACAATACAAGACCTAGAGTATTACAGATATGCATAAAACACACATGCACTTGCTAGCTAGCCTCTCTAGCAAATGAGCATTGACAATGGTCTTTATGCAATAAGGGACACATCAAATATTTACTAAGTTTGAATTATGCTTAGCTTGCATTATATATACACATTGCTGCTGGCCTTTTATTTAGAAGAGACATTTTGGGTAGCCATTCCCACATGGGTGTATCCCTTTTACCTCTTCCTTTCTTTCAGTTTCTATGAGAGAAGCATTTTCTAGCTCAAACTCTAGATGGCACTGTAGTATACATGCAATAGGTTGTATTTCAAAAGGTCAAGTTACTGTTGACTTTTATTGACATAGCTCAAGTGCAGTGTTTGACCAGACCTAAAACAATGGGAGCGCCTAAAAATGTGTACATGGCCCATCAAGTCATATACATTTGCACAATATACAATAGAATCTATTTCCCTGTTGTATAAAAGAACAGCATGTGCAACATTGTTCCAATGGCATTTGTTTGAGAAATTCTCACACAAGAAAACTGAAGTACTTCTAAAAAAACAACAGATTTTCATTTGTCAAGGTGGCCAATAGATCTACAAACATGCAGGTAAAGTAATGTGCACAGCTTGATCTTTTCTGTAAGCCTCCCTATTGGTTATTGAGGCATATGGTTTTCACCAAAGATGACTTCTGCTTTTTATCCATTGTTTGTTCGGTTTGAATTGCCTAGCTTTGTGACAAATTTAGTAAAGTGAGTTGCTTTAATAACTTATCACTTTACATTCTTTTACATACAAAAGGGAAAAGGATGTCGGCCTGGCCATCTGATGCCTTATAAAACATAAGCAGTTTGTCCATTTTATCATTTAACTGATGTAAGATGAACGTTATGCCACTGATCCAAAAGTATGACCTTCTCAGTCTTTTTCTAGTAATAGTTTAATAATTGCTAGAAAAGTTCTTTCTATCATAGATTGTGTTGTCCATCATTACCGAGATGCCAGCTTACTGCCTTTGTACAAGCTCCCCTGAGCTGTCTTAGCGCCGTATAGTAGTAGTAAATCATTGTGCTATGGGATGTTTTCTTCATTTCAAGAAAATAGAGAACATAACAAAAGCAGATATGTTCTGCGGGTACAAAGGGATTCATCTTGGATATTAGACTTCAGTAAACTAAATATAATGATGTTAAACTAGGATACTGAAGGTGCACAATAAAGTCCTGTATACCAATATCCAAAATTTTGTATTCAGAAAATATAGTAATGGAATAAATCCTACTACGGCAAATATGTCTAGTAATTTACTTTCAAAGTTTTTTTTGTTGGAGGTGAATGTTTTGTTTAAAAATTTTGGACCCAACAGCATCTCATTTTGAACCTCATTGTAGCAAACTGATATATATTTTATTTCAAGATAAGCGATCATTATCATTTTTGTTACAGTTCTGTCCTCTGTGTAGTACTTTGTCCTATGTTAGTAAGTGCTTTCTAACCATAAGTAAAAAATAGAAACCGCACTCCAAAGCTTAGTTGTTCTGTATTTAATTTGTCAAAAAAAGATTGCATACATTTGGTGTCTCCACCCAAAATCAACCTTCCTTGACATGTTTCACCTGTGCTGGCTTGCTTACAAGGATGGGGGAATGGACTTTAGAGGGGACAGAACTGTAACAAAACCTATAATGATAGATCTTCTTTAATTGTCTGCACCAAGAAGGCATGTTATTGTTACAAAAAATGTGTTTAGCAACATACAGCGTTTTAAACAAAATGTACTACTACTTTAACATTTTGCAATTCCTAATTACAAGGCGCATGTCAAGAAATTTACATTCAAAGCATTTTCTGTTTTTATTTAAAAAAAAAAAAAAAAAAAAAGATGACTATGCTTTGTTTCTGAGAGCATGCAATCTTTTTTTCCTACCCTACTCTTTATTTCCATTTTTACATTGTCATTTGATTTTATGAATTTTATCTGATGGAATCTGTATAATAATGTGCTCTGAAATATGATTTATTAGCAATACACCCCTTTCAGCCACTGTATAGTTTCGTTACCTGGGATATGATAAAAACTCCTTTCTGTAGTCTGTAGAATCCTATGCAGGGCTAATGAAGGATATGCATAATATATTACATATAGGATTATGTATTATATACATAAATATTAATTTACTGTAGAGTTAATCTGTCAGGTTGACAGAATTTATTAAAACTGTGTAGTGTTAGAGTCTACAAACTGCATATAATTTGAATTAATTGTTTAAACAAGCTCTCACTCTGCATAGTTGTTTGGTAAGTTTTGGTTGAACACGATGTGAAGAAAAAACGTTTCTGTGGTAGAACATCCAGGCACATTCTGACTGCCCTCAGGCGCTCAAGCTTGCCGGTAGATTCCGGTCACAAATCTTGCGTGAATGTTGGGTTATTGTTTCATGTTTTTATTTTTATTTTTTTTTTAGTGTGGGCATGGAAAAGAAAGAAAGAAATGGTCAATGCAGTTAAACTCTTCCAGTGAAGCTTATTTCACAGTAAATGGTAGTTTTCTAGACAGGTTATCTAACCCATATAATTGGTTGTTTTTCAGCTGCTTGTTCTTAGGACCCATGTAGATAAGCATGTCACTATGGGTAGGTCAAATGTTATTCCAGGGCAACAGAAATAAACCACCCTGCTTGAATATAGTATTTTAGGTTAAAGAAAACAGATGTTTGGAACAAAGAGGTTTTAGTGGGACATAAGAAAACTGATTAAAAGAACCTGTGGGTGAACACCTTTTCTAAATCTTCCTTGTTGGTTGGTCTTTCTTTGAGAATGTTTTAATGAATTAGTTTAAGTATACACTTTATGGCCAAAAATGTGTAGACACCTTTCCAAATTGAGATCAACATGCAAAGACATTTTAGACAATTGTACATTTCTAACTGTGCCAACAGTTTGAAGAAGGCCATTTTCTGTTCCAGCCGATTTGTGTCCCTGTGCACAGACCAGTTCCATAAAGACATGGTAAAATGGTTTGGTGTGGAGGAATGACTGGCCTGAGCCCTGACCTCAAGTCTACTTAATCAGCTGGAACAACTTCTTAGCCAACATAAGAAATGGGTTTGTACAAATGCTTTATAGGCTTCATGGGAACAGATTTGAACAGGCACACTACAAAATTTTGTGGAATGTCTTTTCAAAAGAGTGGAGGCTGGTAAAGCTGTAAGGGAAGGGGGAAGAGGATCCAAAACAATGTCCATGGTTTTACAATGGGATGTCCAACAAGTTTTTATATGTGAAGGTTGGGTGTTCACAAACAGCCATGCAGTGTTTTTTTTTTTTTTTTTTAAACCTCTCCTTTATAGGATTGAACTTGACTGTTGAAATAACCACTTTCATCAATCATGTTGTACAGGTCATGGGTCTTTCCCAGTATAAAGTGGACTTAACTACCCCCGTAGGAGTGTTCCCGGTTGCAACGATGATGTCACCACCTGTGCACTTTCCTTCAGAAATTTCCCAGCTATTGCAAGGACAGGATCACCTTTCCCAAGCTTCTCTACCACATACCATGCCACATACTGAGACAATCGTGGCTGAGAATCAGAGTATGTCCTATCCAAGTCCTGGCATTTCCCAGCCTCCTGAGTCACATAACCTTTCTCAATGCCAAGCCGCACGGTCATTTGCAGAATCTGCTCATGAGGTAGATCTTAACTTTTTTACTCGGGCTGGCCTCACAGTTTGTTTACATATTTGTAATGTCTCTGCTGATGTTAGAAGTATTTTTTAAAGCTAATTTTATCATTTCATGTTTTAGGAACAGCACAATCAAGAAAATCTGCCAAGCTCAAATCAAAGCTTTGATAAGTGAGTTATTTCTGTCCGTCAGCAGTGTTATTGTAGAAGCTAGCTGTATTGTTTATCACTGAGATTAAAGTAGAAATTTCTATAAGGACTAATGTTTTTCTATAATTGCAGTACTACTGATTCTGAAGTCTCCATTTTCTGGCTTTTTGTTTTGATAGGGAAGCAATGTAATGATTATTAGTGGCCTTAGACTGATAGATATCTCCCCAAGAACAAGTGGCAGGGAGCTATCTTCATGCGCTTAAGTGAGCCATCTGACTGCCATTACCCATTGTGATTGTAACTGACACAGCAGCAGTACATATATGGAATACGATACATTTTCCCCTGCTTTATAACAGTATTGGGGATGATTGTGCCTGCTCACAAGGAAAATTATTCAAACAATTGTACAATGAGTACGTCCAACTGCCAAAACTGATCACATACCTTGGTGTCTAGAAACACAATGATAAAAATTCAATAGGGGTTGATTTACTAAAACTGGGGAGTGTAATGTTTGGTGCAATTTTGATAAGTAACCAATCACCTTCCAGGTTTTATTGTCAAACCTTAATGTGTAACTAAAGGCAACTTTTTTTTTTTTCTTGTATTGTTTTTTGGAAAGCGTGGAGATGGGTTGGAACACCTGTTAGGGAGATTCACCCTCTCTGATTTACCATTATCATGGAAAGTGAAAGTAAAAGAAACCCCAAATTTTGGGTTATCCCCAGAAAAGTAATAGAGGGGACATTTTCCAATAGTTGTGAGCACTAGGGGGTGCCTAAGGAATTCCTTTTCATTCTCCGAGATTTTACTACTTCCTGTTTTGGCTATAGGCAGAAAGTGAATGTAAATCTCCCCAATGATGGCAAAAAATACACTGACAGGTTTACTCTATCCAAATTGGGGAGAAAAAAATTTGCCATAGTTCTACTTTATCTGAACAAACTGAAGTTAGAGGCTGCAATGAACAGCTGCAGCAGATTTTGCACTCTCCAGTTTTAGTAAATTAACTCAAGGCTGCAATTTGTAATTTGAATGGAATCTACAGCCACCTTAAGAGCAAAATATATTAAACCTTTTTTTGGCTCATTGAAGTTTTTATTTTGTTCCCTGTGTCCAGTTGAAGAGATTTTGAATTACAATTTTTTCCAGTTGATGAAGTGAGAGAAAATCTTTCTCAAGTCACAGATTCTTTTAAAGCAGAAATTCACCCAAAAGGGGGAAGTTCCTCTTGTCTGCCTCCCCCCCATTTAAGTTTTGGCACTTTTTTTTTATGGGGAGTGGGTACTTTGATTTGACAGTTCGGCCCCCCTTCCCTTGTAGCCTTTTAGGACACCCATATGACGAGAAAGCTGTGGGACCATTAAAAAAAAAAAAAAAAGCACAGTGTGGCTCATGCATACACAGTGAGAGCTGGCTCTAAAGCCGCGAGCATTCACAGTCAGCTTCCCTAAGAATACCTGCTGGTGTCAGGGACCTGAAGCTTGGGTGAGGGCCATGCTGGATCCCTGGACCTACTATTAAAATTCAGCAGCTACAGAATTTTGCAGCTGCTGACTTTTAATTTACTTGTTTCTAGGGTGAAGAACCACTTAAAGTGACAGTTGTTACCACATTGTGTCCTCATTGGAACACTCCTTTTATTCTAGTTGTGGTAACTCAGAATGTGAATTTCTTATAATTTCCTGTTTTCATAACTGTGGTTATTAGGGCTAATAAGGGCATAGACAGCAGTAAAAATCTGACGGGTTCTAACCCTTCCTCACTCATTTCAAACCTTACCCTTTAATTGTGAGTAGGACCCTAATACTATACTGGATAAACCTGGTCAACCCACTCTGCTCACCCTTCTTCCCTTTTTTGTTTGTTGCTTTTTTTCTTTTCCTTTGCAACACAACTACACCCTAGAATTCATGAGAACAGTAGTTGTCACTTTCATTCACCACCATAAATTAATACACAACCAGTGCTTAACCTTTCCATATCTGAGAGGAACTTTGGGCTTTTCAAATTTTTTAAAAAATTTTTTGTATTCTGTGGAAAAAGACACAATGGCCTATATCAATAAATGTAATTACTTTATTTGTAATATCTATTTTCATAATAAAAATACTGAAACAGGTTCTTTTCCTTGTGTTAAAGCATTCTGATTTGAGCCTGCAGTGTTAACACTTATTTGTACTGTTGCTTAGTTACATAGGTTCTGATGCCGCTTCTGGTAAAGAAATGAGTGATGGATGCGAGGGTATACAAGGCGGTAAACACGATGGAAAACCAGCCAAGAAACATCATCGGAGGTCATCGCGGACTCGTTCCCGCCAGGAGAAGACCAATAAGCCTAAACTAACTATTCTTAATGTAAGCTCCTAGCCCACTTTTTGAGGGATTAATACTTGTATGCAGATGGCATTACCTTGTGATGTTACATGACCATTTCCTGCAGGTGTGCAACACTGGAGACAAGATGGTAGAATGCCAGCTGGAAACACACAACCACAAAATGGTTACCTTTAAATTTGACTTGGATGGCGATGCTCCAGAGGAGATTGCTACATATATGGTAAGGCAAGTGAGGAGGGGGCATGCCAAGCTAATATTTATTTAGTGCTTTACATAATTTGCAAAACATTTGCATGATTTTATCTCCAGAGGATATGGAAGACTGTGGAAGGGAACAACAATTAAGGCATTTTTCGTATGTGTTTTGGCACACATTAGCAGATTTAGTTTAAAAAAAAAAAAGAAATGAAGGAAAAAAGAGCATTTGTGCTGCTCCTGTCGGTTCTTATATTCCAGCTGCTATGTACAGTGCAGGATGTAAGCAAAAAGCTTGCTGGTTTGCACAAGACAAAATAAAAAATCCTTGCCAGGTCTTGAAAAAAGAAATATACAATGCCACATCCCAAAAATGCTTAGACAGAGCAAATAGGAACAAATCATTCCTAACATAAAGGGACTTTTATGGCTTGGTACTAAGGAGCACAGACCATAAAATTAACAAACATTTATTTTAGCAAAACCAATATTAAGATTAGATCAATTATGATCATATAAATGCTTTCACAATACAAAAGTGTTACATTAAAACCATTAAAGGTTCTACACAAGTTGGAATTGATGCTTGTCTTTTCCTGCTGACTTGATCCTATGTGTCTTGCAGCTTAAACACTGCTTCTTCCACAACATCGCAGGAGTCAATGTATTCAAAATGTATTCAAAATGATCAACAATAATAATCAAAACATTTGTTTTATCTTGAATTACATATTAGGTATACCACCATGTTGCATACAGAGAATGTGAGAGCCCTACGAGCTAAACCAGGCATCCATGGGTAATGAAGGTCCACCGAATAGGTGGGGAGGGGGTGTGATGTTGGAGGCTGCAATCTGTCCAATCACCATAGCTGCAAAAGAAAATTGTATCCAGTTTTTTTACAGCTATTTGCCTCAACCCTAAAATGGCAAAAAAACAGTAACTCAAAGGGAAAAGAAACAACACTAGCCATTTAAACCAATTTGGCAATATTTGAAAACCTAAACAAGGACTAACCACTTCTGGGACCCTAAACTACCAATAACAACCAAATACTCACCTACAAGAACTCCCAGGGTAGTGATCCATATCCCACCAACAAATGCATCACATATCATACAACCAATACAAATCCACACCCACAGCCCCCCCACAACCACCCCAACTAAATGGACACTTCCCTCCTCCCCCACCAAGTCCAGCCACCCACATCAGACCGCACACCCATTCCACACAACTCCTAAACCTCCATACATTACAATCAAACCAACATCCCACAAACCCATCCACCCATCACCACATAAATACACCACCCACCTGCCATAACACACTACCCTAACACCGCCAAACCAACCATACCCAGTTCTAATCCACATCTCCCCCCACAAGCACAATGCACACATCCACAAGAACTCCCCAACCCACCAATAGGGCATCCCAAACCCATAAATGACTCCCAAAACTCAAATTCCCCCTCTACGTCAATCCTCATACATTTCTAACACCACTCCCATCAGTATCCCTCAACTTATCAGCAGGACATCCCAATCCCATGAACAGCCCCCAAAGACTTACATTGCCCCTCCACATTAACCCTCGTATATTACCAACAACCATACCGTCCCTCACTCACCCCAGGAGACATAAAATAGCACTACCAAAACTAGAATATTCCACACCACACCAATTTATGTACAATCAAATGCCAATAAAACCACTCGGCGAGAGCCAGAACCCTTAGTTTGAAGCATTGGTGCAAAGCTTTAAGCACACATAGGTTATTTGCTAAAACAGGAGAGTGCATAGTTTGGTGCAGCTCTGCATAGAAACCAGTCAGCTTCCAGGTTTTATTGCCAAAGCTTAATTGAACAAGCTGAAGTTAGAAGTTGATTGGCTACCATGCACCGCTGCACCAGATTCTGAGTGCACCAGTTTTAGTAAATCTCCCCCATAGTTTCAGTGTCAAGAATGTAAATTCATTTTCCAGTGTATTTTGCAAAGATTTGGAGTACATGTACCTAGTTATGCTTAAATAATGGGCCAAATTTCCTGTAAGGCTGTTACATGACTCTGCCTATGGCAGTAGAGTATAAAGAGGCAGCATTAAATAACTTTTAATTTTGCTCATTTCTTTTCTGTATGTGCATCCTTTGACCATTGTGGGTAAACTACCAGTAGAACTGTGCTGCATAGATGAGTAACAGGATTCTATAAGTCAATTTTTATATAGACATTCTCTCATTCAGAGCTCTGTATGTAATGTGCTCTACTCAAACAAAGAAATCCGGATGGCTGGTACACCTGTGATCTTCTAAAAAATGGATGGTCTCAATAAAAAATAGCCGAAGACCATGCACAAAAGAGATATAGTTAACGTGTTTCACACTGTTAGTGCTTCAAGGAAGCACTAACAGTGTGAAAGGCATTAACCATCTTTTTCTCTCTCCCATGTGTGGCTGTTTTTTTGGAGATCTGTTTCTTTTTCTTTTTTTTTTTTTAAGAAGATCCCAGGTCTGCAACCATCCAGATTTCTTTGAGTTACACAGTTACGAGTTGGGCTTGACACCCTCTTGAGCTTGAATAAGCAGAGCCCTAGGTTTGGGCCTACCTGGAGCAGCTGGTTTGTTTTTAAGTGCTCTACTGTAGATATGCCACTCTTGGTTTTAAAGGTGAACTTCAGGTTCCTTTAAAAAAAAAAAAAAAATACATGCAGTGATGTATTATTAAGAAACCATCATTTATAAGCCTGAGCCAGTTATAATTCCCTGTACAGCAGAGCTCAGACTGAGCGAGGAAGAAGCAGCACAAGGAGTCAGTCAGTTGGGCTGCAGTGCTAACAAAGGACAGGCTGATGGGAGGAAAAATGACTAGCTCATCAATCTGCTGCTTCTTCTTTCACTATCCATTCACAAGTTGTGGGGGGGTGGGGCTACAAATGTAACCTAACTGCCAGACAGGGCAGTGCTATGCCACAGAGCTGTGTCAATCTCAGAACCAGATGGATAACAACAAGTCCGTAGACAGGTAAAACTGTTTCCATATATGTATTTCATCTGTTTAGTTAGAGGTCCACCTAGAGTTCAGCTTTAGGTTTTACATTTTTAAACATGTATTAACACGTGTTAAGGAATAGGGCCGATTATAAAAGGGTCCATCTCAAATGTGCATAGGGAAGCATGATTTCTAAATACAGTACTGTCTGGTTACATCACTAGCAAAAACCTGGATTCTGTATAACCATCCATACATACCCACATAACCGTAAAGAACTTGCTGCATATTATATTCCTTCTTTACATGAGCTTTGTCAGTGTTCTGATGGCCTCTGGAGGGTCTCACAATGGGCTAACATGGTTATTTGAAGAAGCCTCAAAATTAATGATTGCAATTAAAATCTCTTTAGCAAAGTCTGTCTTTCCATTGGAAGAACAGTTCTCCCAGCTATAATAGGATGATGAGTTCCAAGTTTTCAGTTTTATTAAATCGAAGGTAGGAGAAGCAACTATATATTATTTGAGAGCGCTTAGCATTGCCATTCTGATATTGTGCCTTGTGGATGCAGCAAGACTGTGCTTTGAATTAACATATCTGTATGCTTCCAGGTGGAAAATGAATTCATACTGCAGATGGAGAAAGAAATTTTCATTGAGCAGATGAAGGATGTCATCGACAAGGCAGAGGACATGCTGAGCGAAGACACTGAAGGGGAGAGAAGCTCCGATCAAGGGGCAAGTCCTCAACAGACTGACTCCTTCAAGGCAGAAATGAGGGAGGTACAGTATATACATCTATTTAGGATGCTCAGTGCTTTTCCTACTGGATTACCCAGAACACCCTGGGAAACCAGATCTGTTGCTCTAAGCAAATTGCAAATTCACTGCTGTCCACCCCCAGCTGTCAGCACCTGCTTCTTAGCTGAATAAATTACTTTTATTGCAGGGTTATTTATTTGAAGTTGGACCTCAAAGGGACAGAGATATGTAATGAGTAATAGTGATGGTCATCTTAAATGCACACTACAAAATCTTTTATAAGACATTCACTGCCGTAGGTAAAAGAGTGACTTTTTTTTTTACATTTTGCCTGCCTCGGGCATGGCTGCTTGACCCTTCTGATACCTTGCAAAATATACCAGCCACAGTCTACTTATGAGTTTGTGAAAAAAAAAAAAATAAAAAAAAATAAACCATCTATGAGCGTGTAGAGAGGAACACTTTGTTATTGTATGACTAGAGTATTTATGCAAAAATATCCCATAGTATCCAGTACAAATTGTCATATATGCAAACCAATGAAGATCCACATTGCTGGCAGGTTGGACTTTTTTCTTCCATTATTCTGTATCCTTGGTGATAGGGCAGAGATGATTAGAGAAAAAAATTGATGCTTCCAATTACTTCCTAATCGGTAAATGTACTGTATAGTGGATGTACATGTCAGGTAAAAATGAGCTAATACAAGGCTTTGTGTGTCATTATCGCGTCTTTTGCTGCTATTGTCTCCTTTCATGGGCCAATAAAAGTAGTTTAGATGTATATAAAATATTTAATGTTAATATGTTTTCTGAATGTTCACTTTCTCTACATATTTAAAGAGGACAATGCATTCTAATGAACTTAGAAAACTGTAATTGAATAATTTTCTATTCAATTTTAAATGAAATATATATTATTTGTTTAATATCCACACAGTGCCTAGCTTACTTCTGATTTCATGTTACCCTCACTGCCTGTGGAAAGACTTGATTACTATGCCAAGACCTGCCAGCACTTGGTAGTCTTGTCAGTTTGGTTTTTACAGTGCCAAACTCACATAGAGGATGGGTTTTTAGAACATATAACAAGGGTAATGTCCCTACACATTTCTTGCATCACAAAGCTGAATGGGTCATGTGGATTATGTAATACATTTTAGAAGTCCTGCGTAGTTAAATAACTATAGATAACTAATCCATATTTTCTATGCATTGTTTGTATGCAATTTTCTGCATTGACTACTCCAGCAGCTGCTGACTGTTGGGATAGTCACAGTTTCTCTAAGTTAGTACCACAGCTGCATTGATCACATTATTTGAAAAAGGAAAGTGGAAGAGTATATTACACAGAGAGTGCAATAAACCATAGACGTTAAAGGACAACTATAACTTTGGTACATGTTGTCCTTTAAGGCATGCCCCTATGCCCCACCTAGAGAAATGCTTCCCTTTATCTTCGATCCAGCAAAGATACACAACCTTACTTCAGATAGTGACCACTGCAGATCTCTCCATTCCATGCTAGCATGATATAGCCCCATTAATTTAATTCTCCAGCAACCTTGCAGAACATGACTCTCAGAGAAATGAATGGGGCCGTAACACACATGCCCAAGAGGACCTGAAGGGGTTCTTTCTGAAGCAAGGCTGTTCAGCTTTGAGTAGTGCCATACAGAAAAAAATCACTGGATTGAGGTAGAAGGTTAAGTATTTCTCTATGTTAGGTCTGTACACTGAGAACTCAACTGTTAGTAGAATATGGTGACTGTTTTCTGTACACTTTTCTTTCTAGGTGAATTGACAGAGTGGGCAAACTGGCTTTCTGCATTGGCATGCCTTGTGTGGCTATGACATTTGATCCCACTATTGTGTTTCTAAGGCTAGCTAGACAATGGAGATGAGGGGGTAGTATAGGGCTGGGATTACACATCCATCACTAGTTATAGGATCTTTGTGGAATGTCCAACTGTTACTATGTAAAGCAAAAAGCACCAGAGTTAGATATACTGCTTTCAACAATCAGTACTCAGAACTGGCCAGACATGCCGCCTCCTGCTCTCTGTAACAAAAAAAGTTTTGAGGTTGCTAGTGATGGGAGTGTGTTCATTTATAGCCTCAGCACTTTAGTGTGCTGGCAAATATGGGACTATAGGGAAAAAAAAAAACCTAAGACCTCAAGTAGGAACCCCAGTTTTTTCCTTTTAAATAGGTAGCCCAGCATTTCAAAAGGCATAAAACAAAAATACACTTTTGCTACAATATTCACCTCCTCACCTGCACTGTCCTCCTCGGATCAACAGACCTAGGTCCATACCCTTTTGGGTAAATAATGATTAGAGTCCACAAATCATACCTCATCATCATGTTGGCCTGGGCTCACAGTAAAATACTGCAGAGAGTGGTGGGCTGAACTGGCTGTTTTTTTGTTTGTTTTTTTTCTTGAATTGTTGGCATGCTCACTATAGTACCATTTGCAGCCATTATGCAACCACATACTTATTTCTCTGGCTTCTTAATTTACATGTACACTGCTGAGAATGCAGCTAGAGTAAAGGGATCCCCTTGCTTGTCTTTGTAGCAGTTGTTTGCTTTCAGCTTGGAACTCCTTGTTTGCTGGAGCTTCTGAAAGATAAGAATCCCCTTAATGATTTTTCTAGTTTCCGCCCTTGTAAAATGAGAATAATTTTAGTGATCGTTAGCCTTTGACACTAATCAGATTGGCTTATGAGACCTCTTTGTTCCCTCATGAGTGAACCAACTTAACATTTTGTTTTTAATTTTTTCAAAGGAAAATCAGCATGCCCCAGTAAGGACACCGGTTTACCAGCAAAATGGTATGAGCACAACATCCAATTCCTCACAGCTAGCTTTCATTCACATTGATTTAGATAATTAAGCATCTCTACATTTGTTTTCTAGTTTTGCATACTGGGAAGCGTTGGTTTATCATATGCCCAGTGATGGAGAGTCCGAGCTCCACAGATGTCTCTTCAGTAGGTACAAAGACAGAACATCAAAGTGAAAGCACAGCTGGTAATGCCAAAGGTACATATTTTTCACCCTCAAACATTTAGTATGGAAACGCATGTAGGTTTACAGTCTAGGTGCCCTGAGGTTTTGCTTCATTTCTGACATATTTTATGTATAACGTTAAAAACCCTCTATGTGAAGTCCTGTGATTGTATGGAAATATGGTTACTGCTATTGTGTAGGTAAAGTTTCAAACTCTACCTGTCATTCTATTTTCAGTGTTATTTGGTCCCCTGGTTATTCAGAAACAAATTAATTTTGTGCACAAACCTTACCGTAATCTACAGGAAGCATTATTGACAGGCACATTGTATTGTTGTTTAATATACAATATATAGGGTTGCGCTTGTAGGCCTGTGTGAAAAGGGGAGGTAGACTGAAAGCAATTTACTTATCTGTGGTTATGAGATTGGCCAAATGCTAATGAGTCCAGGTTGTTTATTTCAGCAGTTGTATCTGTGACCCCAACGCATACTGCAGGCTACAGTAGTTCTGGTGTAAAGCTACTGGATGTTTGCGGCGGTCCACTTGTGTACCTTATATGAAGCAGAAGTTGCATGTACTTTGTCAACTACAGCTAATAAACTTTCCTAATCCTTCATTAAGGCACACAGGGTCAGAAGGATTATGAGACAACTAGGTTATACTGCCATCTACAGAAGAAATGGACAATCGCTAACAAAAGCTGTTTTTCAGCCAGTATATCCCCTCCCACTCCTATCATGCTTCAGTTTTTTTCCTAGTGTCCTAGGAGAATGGACATATATTTTCTCCTCTCAAAAAAGCAAACCCATTTCACTCAAGTTTAATCCCTTTTTTTATCAAGATATTTTCTATCGATCACCTTTTTGTTTTGTTTTTTCCTTTTCATCTTAACCAGAACATTGTACTTCAACTCCTTGACCTGCTCCAGTACATCCCAAGGAGATTTTCCTACATTGGTACTAACTGTTGAGTTAATCTCTTAGCTACATTCTTCCTTCAGGCTAACCAATTACCTCTTCCTTACTTCTGAGGATCCCAGTAATTAGAACAGCCCATCTCATTCTACCATTTGTAGATGGCTTAGGCAGCTCATTATTCAAATATAGGCTAGGTAGAACTATAGGCAAAATGTTTTTTCACTTTGGATAGAGCAAGGGAGGGTTATAACCTCTTTCATATTTTTCTTGCCATCTGTTTCTCATTGCAGAGATTTCTCTTCACTTCTGGTCCCATAACCAAACAGAAAGCAAGAGGAAATCCCTGCAAATTATGGGAATTTCGTGGGTACCCCCAGGCCACCAGAACTAGTGTCCCCATTGGAAGATTTCTCTAGAATTACTTTTCTGGGGCAGTTCGTGGGCACAATACATGTGCACAAGGTGTCAATAAATTAAAGTATTTGTTCATCAATGCCAAGCAAAATAGATGAGTTGGAAGCTTTGGACCATGAACAGAACTATGATTTAATTGGTATTGCTGAATCTTGGCTTCATTCTTCACTGGGCCAGTAATATTCCTGGCTTTGTTCTTTTTCAGAGAGACAGGGTAAAAAGGAAAGGTGGTGGTGTCTGTCTCCTATGTGAGAAGTGATCTCAGAGCAAGTGTGAGAGAGAACCTAGTTGGAGAGTGTGATGAGGCTGTAGCATTATGGGTGGAACTGCACATAGGGGTGCGTACTACTAAGGCCAATGTGGTGCCTATATTTAAAAAGGGGTCAAAATCTTTATCAAGTAATTATAAACCTGTTAGTTTAACTTCCATAGTTTGGAAGATACTGGAGAATTTAATAAAAGACCACATAGATGAGTTCTTGCGTGAAAAAAAATATTTTAAGCAACAGACCGTATGGATTCATGAAAGACAAGTTGTCAGACAGATCTGATTAATTTTTATGAGGAGGTGAGCAAAACCTTGAACAAAGGGGTGGATGTGATATACTTGGATTTTGCAAAAGTGTTTGATACAGTTCCCCACACACAGCTAATGTGTAAGGTAAAGTCTACA